AATTGTTTCGTGCAGTTTGGTGTAGGCAGTCTCGTCGATCCGCAGGAGGCTTTCCCTCAGTTCTTGACCCACCAATCGGCGCTGAGCCTGGTCGAGCCTTATCGCCACACGAGCAACCTCGCGAGAGAAGCGGGAAAGCCATTCATTATGTTTGAAACGAACACGGCTACTTGTGGTGGTCTACCAGGTATCTCTGATAGCTTTGGTGCGGCGCTGTGGGCGCTCGATTATGGGCTCACGATGGCGGCGACCAATTTTTCGCATGCCTTGCTACATGTGGGAGGGCAAAGTGTTTATTACAACGTGAGTGACGGTGTTGCGTGGGCGGGAACAGAGACTGACATTTATCATCCGTCAAAAGCCTTTCACTGGTATGTCGCGCTAATTCACATACGTTTCGACCCTTGCTTAAAGTCGTGTTCAAAAGCGCCACCCACAAATCAAAGCTCGTTCAATCAATGGACAGTCGGCGCCGTATACTACTCGGTCCTTATCGTAGCTGAAGTCTTCGGCAAATCCAACGTGTCCCAGATTGTCGACACCTCAAACAATGGCCTCTTCACGCCTTCATATGCCATCTACGATAACGGTGCACTCTCGAAGGTCGCTTTGTTCAACTTCATGGACGACCCATCCGGCGGGCATGATATCACTGGAATTATCACGGTCGATGGGGGTCAAGTACCAGCAGAGGTATACGTGAAGTAAGTTGGACTCCATGTGTATAAGTAGACCGTCGACTAACTGCCTACGCCTGTCAGATATTTCAGTGCCTCTTCTGTATCCGTCAGGACGGGACTCACCTGGGCGGGTCAGGTAAGCATCACAGCCCCTCTTACGCGGCTCATATTGACAGGTCCTGTAGACATTGGGAGATCGATTCAAAGTTGATGGTCGGCTCAAAGGTGACCAAAACGTGGTTAAAATCCAATGCGACCAAGGCGCAAACTTCTGCCGAGTCCCCGTCAAAGCGCCCCAGTTCGCTCTCGTCTTCCTGTCGGATCCTTCGGCCACGGAGATAGAACAACCGCAAGTGACATTTGCGACGTCCGCCCACACGAAGACGATAAACACGGTCACTGTGGATCCCGCTGTTCTGGCAACATCGAACGGCCACTCTGGGAAAGATAGACTGAAATCTGGGAACACCAGTCCTCAGCAGTCGAATGGATCTGAAGGGCACCGCATTTTAGCTTCAGAATTGAGCGTCATGTTGGTCATAGCTGTGGGAACTGGAGCCTTAGTTATGACCTTTACGCGCTAGTATTCAGTATAAAAGTTCATTGACGCTAACGGGATGCCTGACTCGGAGGCTTGGGCGCAGGTGGCTGGTTGCATTACAGTAATACCATTCGATATATATACAAAAACCTGGAGTGAAATCTGTAATAGATATCGATGGCTGCGATTGATTAGATCCTTCAAGCCCTTCTTCGCTTTAAGCAACCTTCCTCGACACGTGGATCCGCAGCAGAATTGTCCGTAATTACCTTCTTCGACCATCACCAGCCTACAAGACACAAGATGCTCAAAATTTCAAACTTGTCTCTCTCGTCCGCGCCATTGAACTTCACCTAACTTCGCAACGACACGCTTAAAAATCCCACACTTTCTGGTTGAGATTCGAGAAAGCTTGAAAAAGGCGCTTCTATGTGACAGTGAGTGCCATAGCGTTCATGAAACACGACGAAGCGGCTTACTCTGACTGGCAGTACCGCCAAGACCTGAGGTAACCTGGGTGCTGGGTCGACGTGATGACATCTTCTGGCGACTTTCATCATTTTCATCAAGAGACCAAGAGACAGTTGTGATTACATAAAAGCCCACTGTAAATTCCCATTTTGACAACATTGGTATCACTTACAAATTTGCTAGCAGGAGCACCGCGCTTTAACTTTTAGTCAAAATATAACTTATCATGTTTTGCAAGGCCAGGAGCATCGGGTTCTCGAATGTTGAACGAGAGTTGTTCCTGCCAAATGGGGTATGATTTGTTTTTCTGCCCAGACTCTTGGCAAACGTACCTCACAACCGTTTGGCCTTTCATTCTTTCCCATTCTCCATCTCTATAATCCAAGAGCCTCCAAGATGCTCTTGCCGTCGCTCTTTGGTCTCGGCCTTCTCAATACCGCCAGAGCGGTTACAGTATATGGTCAAATTCCTTTCGGGCAGACCAGCGGTTTGGCAACGGCCACTGGAGCGAACGGCGCAGGTCCTACGGATACTCCAACCACCAAGTTGCTCGCGGCGTACGACGAGACGATCCTCAAACCACCAGTAGCGCCCAACGACCAGCCTCTTACCTACACCTTGAACCTGGCCGCAACAAATGTCAGCGTACCGAATTTGTCGATTATGCAGCATGGGTCTTTCTATGGGTTTTCGATTGAAATGTCTGTTCTTACGCAAATAAGTACGTGGACCTCAGCTAGGTATCACTTCAAGGATCTAATCTTTTATCATAGTGGGCAAAAATGCGTTCGTGATCCTCCAAACTCATCTACGTTGACAAGGCTCATTTGGTTATAGTTCACATATTCAAGTCCCCTTCCTCAACTTGATGGCCCAGATAACCCAGCGCTCAGGAGGTGTTCATATCCGTATGGGCGGAAATACACAAGATTTCGCGTACTGGGTAGATTCAATACCTGATGGACATGCAACGGCAAAGGAGAAGTCCGACCCCAAAAATCCTGTAAGTCTTACTCTCCTGTCCAAGGACCCTGCTAACGCCGTGGTAGACCTTGACGCCCGCCGTCACGTATAGCGATGAACTCTTCTACCTTGCGGCCAACATCTCCTCCCTTGTCAATGTTGAATGGTACATGGGTGAGCTGCGAATTTTCTGACGTGAAACTGTCAAATGACGACAGACCTCAGGTATTCCCTTCAACGACACCAACTGGCGCCTGGGTATCGCCGAGAAGGCTCAATCCATTCTTGGTGACCACCTCATTGGACTCCAAGCAGGAAACGAACCAGATTATTATTTGGCGTAATACTCTTCACACCATTTTATCGGAGGACAAGATAAGCTAACACTTCACCTTTTTTCTTTAGTCACGGTCATCGCGTGGAACCATACGGCCCCGCCGAATACGCAAACGAATTCCAGAACCTCGTTCAGGCTGTGAAAGACGATGCAAACCTCCCCATCAAGAACATGCTCATTGGTCCCAGTCTTGCCTCAGGACCTTGGACACCCGAACAAGTTTGGGACGTGGGCTACCTCGATAGGTTCAAGGATGTCTTGTCTGCCATCACTGTGGAGCAGTACGATCTTTATCATATGTTACCTCTCCGACGGCTGATTATTGAGCTTCCAGCTACCCGAGCAACAATTGCTTCGTGACATTTAACGTTGGTACCTACGTCGACCCTCAACAGACGTTCCCCGATTTCCTCAACCATAATGCTGCGTTGAACTTGATCAAGCCCTATCTTTATTCAAGTAGCCTTGCACGAGGCCTTGGGAAGCCTTTCATTATGTTCGAGACGAACAGCGCGACTTGTGGTGGCCTTCCCGGTATTTCGGACTCCTTTGGCGCTGGACTTTGGGCGCTGGATTATGGCCTGAGCATGGCGGCTTCAAACTTCTCTCATGCTCTACTTCATATTGGTGGTCAAAATGTGTATTACAACGTGCGTCTTGTTCTCTTGTTGAACACTGAATGTCAAGTGTTAACTTCTCGTTAAACGACAGCCTTTCACTGGTGTGACATATTACTTCTGACGTTCGAAACGAAACTGATCGCGTCTATCTCAGCTCCCCCTACCAACCAAACCTCCTTCAACCAGTGGACTGTCGGCGCCATCTTCTACTCAGTAATCATCTCCGCGGAAGTGTTTGGCAAGTCGAACGTTTCGCAGATCGTCGACATCAGCAACAGCGGCGTTTTCACACCATCATATGGCATCTACGATAATGGCGCCCTGTCCAAAGTCGCCCTTTTCAATTTCATGGACGATCCATCGCATGCTCATGACACGACTGCTACCGTGACTGTCAACGGCGGACAAGTCCCGCCTCGAATCTGGGTCAAGTGAGTTTAGGGCTCGCGCCACACGAATCTTGCTTACGGAACTTTTCTACCAGGTACTTCCTCGCCGACTCGGTCTCTGTCAAGACGAATCTCACTTGGGCTGGTCAGGTACGGAGGTATTCTTGCCTCTAATTTGACACGTTTATGTATTCCGTTATTTTAGACCTACGGAAACAAGTTCGAAGTCGACGGTCGCCCTAAAGGCGACCTCAATATCACAACTATAGCGTGCGACCAAGGCGCAAACCAGTGCCACGTTCCCCTCAAGGCGCCTTCCTTTGCACTTGTCTTCCTCACCGACCCCACCGCCGTTCCCACCGATTCTTCAAATCCTGCTATGGTCACTTTCGAGACCACGGCGCTGACGAAGACCATAAACACGGCCACCGTTGACCCGTCCGTTCTTGCAACCTCGAATGGCCACTCCGGAAAAGAGCGCGAGAACCTTGGCAGCACGAGTTCAGGGTCCAACAATGGTGCTGAGGGCTTCCGCGCTTTGGCACCTGGTATCTCGGTACTGCTATCGATGATGGTTGGAGCTGCTGTGGTTATGACTGCGTTCACCCGATGATTGTATATCCCATATCATGATGCCTACAAGACGTAGGAGTGTAAGTGAATAAACGCCTACCTTCCTGTCCTGTCTCTACCCAACCAACTTATACATCGTACTACATGTTGTATCATGACACCCCCGCACTTACCTTTCCTTCCTTCTGACATGACACTGGATGTTCCTTTACGTTCGTTCGCCCACCCCTCATTCTACTGGGCCCACGTTCGACGCTACTGGTCACATATATCTTTGGATACTTAATACCCCTGTATACCTACATTCCCAGATAGAAGTTGTTGTCTGTGGTATCGCTGTTATTCGGACGGGAGGGTCTCGTTATGTGCATATGTTGACGACGGTGCTGCATAAGTTCAAGAACATAAAAAATTGGAGCATATCTCCGACGCCAGCAGGATTTGAACCTGCGCCCTCAAAGAGGAACAGGTTGTTGTGATATTCGAATCTGTCGCCGTAACCACTTGGCTATAGCGCCTTTACCCTGTGCCTAACCTCATGGTTGATGCATATACATATGAGCTTCGACGGGTGTGGCACAACCTCTGCGAGCGTTACCTGAACGGTATTTCGCAATGACATGATTTGATCACCAATTGATATGAACTTGCGCAGTGCCAGGAGCGGCGCGGTAATCGTAAAACTGAGTACCAGAGGAAGCGGGGATCCCAAAAGAATTATTAATACACATTTGGGAAATTTCTGACGTTCTGACACACTGCACACTATAGACATAATGCGAGCGCCACCGATATGTAAAGCATATATCAAGATACGAGTTATAGAAAGTATGAGCGCCTTTGTATAAACCATTAGGAACATCTATGGTACTGTTGGATTTCTCCAGAAATCTTACATAGTCATCCGCTCAATCGAAGTCAAAAGAAAGGAAGAAGAAAAAGATATATATTTTGTTTCGAGTTTCGTTTTCGGGCTACAATTGGGCGATTTTCCTGTACACTTCCGAAAATAGCTGACTCGAGCTATCGATAATAAGCACACCTTGAGGGTCAGAACCCGGTCTCGAGAGGGCACTCATGGATGCCTTTAGTCACCTCATGAATCTGGCCCACGAGCAATAATTATAATCGGCGGCTCTGTAATTGATCTTGCATGGAAGCCGCAGGCACGTAGAGTTGATCCTGAAGCATTCCAGGAACAACCTGTTTTCTCCTACATAGAAGAGCGACGAATCGCAGACAAATTATGGGAGAGACATCTGCATTGTAAAAGCTGCAATTCCGTGCAGGACGTAAGTGGGACCAGGAGGACCTGGTGACTGATACCACGTAAATCCGAACTCCGAGAACTGTGGCGTCGTGTGGAGACTGAAGTAAACAGAACAATTTAGACAGGTGCCTTCCTATTTCCTAGTTTTACGTATTTCACATATTCTGTTCATCCCTCAGTCTTCTGCAAGTGACCTACCATTGCGCCAGGACTAGCGGGGCGATAGTCGGAAGGGGGTGGTTTGCAAAACTTCTTGTACTGACCCCAACCTTCTTCTGAGCGCCAGATGTCTTTTTCTTGTCCGCAGCATCCCCAATGTTCTTGGCCTTGTCCTTAGCAGCTTCGCCACAGTTTACAGGGTGCAAGCTTTGAAAATCGATCAGTCAGCGGACAAAGAAAATGAAATTAAGATGTCACAAAATAGAGCATCACACGGCTTGGTCGGTTCTATTTCAGGATGGTCTTTGGGAGATGTCAAAATTCCTGGAGAGGCGTGAAGGAGAGGATCCGTGAGTTAGTCCAAGTTAACGTCCTTGCCATACGTCCTCGTTCGTACCCTTCATGCATCATCGAGGCAGATCATAGAAGAGTATATGTATCAACTTGACGAACAATTGGCATATCTCAGGCATGAACGTCGTCGACCTTGCACACGACCAGTAATTTAGCTGGCGCACGCAGCAGGTTAGATGGTCAGGTGGTCAGGAACCCCGGACTCGGAGATATAACTTGTAGGTACTTACATATTATCGTACTTACATACATAGCCTATGTAAATACTTGGGGGGACTTTGGTTAACTCTGGTTGCGACATGTGGGCCGTGGGTTGGCTCGGCCGCTGGCACAGACCAGGATTCCTGTGGCGTCGTCTGAACAATTTCGGGTAGGCTAGGTTTCAAATTTTGTGCTTCAATGGCTCTCTAAGTATTTCATTATTTTATAATTTTTACAATCCCTCCCCCCACATCACTCTATGTCATTCATAGTCATACTAGAGGTTCGAGCAGGCTGTTTGTGCAACGCATTCTTGGCCTTGGTGCCGAGCACCACCGCCTTTGCTCTGATCCCTCCAGTGACCTTTTTCGTGGCCTTCGACGTTTTTTCCTTGGCTGCTACCGCTTTGGTCTTAACAGCGCTTCCAACTTCCTTGGCTTTTTCTTTCGCAGCTTTTCCGCAGCCTATACAGGGCGCGGGCTTTGAAATACAATTAGTTAGCGATCGAATAAAAATAAATCAGCTGTTACACACAACATTGGCAAGCTTGTCCACTATAGCGGCAACACAGGCGACGTCGGCGACGACATCTGACAGGGGGCTTCAGTTTACACGACGGGGAGAACTACTTGACCACTTACGTGTGCCACCTAGTACACCAGCACTAGCGCAAGCTGCAGCTGTCGGCCCCAGAGAGGCAATACACCCTGCAAATAGGCGTCAGCTGCAGAATGGTCAAGTAAATGGACGAAGAGATAAAACGTACGTTTAGCGTCACATGTGCCACGTCGGGATAACTGGAAGGAATCGTCCACGTCTAAGGGAAGCGCAGCGACGGCGCTGATGGTCGCGAGAAGAGCGAGGGTATATTTGAACTGCATGACCTGCATGACCGCGTTCTGCCGTTGCGACATTAGTCGATGAAATAGGGATGAAAGAGTAGAGAACCAACCGATTTAAAGTAATTGGAAGAGTGGAAGGGGAAGCAGTGAGAGCAAAGCAAGTCCCAGAGCGTATGAACTCCTCCTCAGTTTCCTGTCGTTCTTATACATGACTTTGGGGCTTGATTCAGCGGAACAAGTGGAGTGATGGTAGTTGGTCGCGCTGAGCTGATCGTTGGCTAGTCGTGCGAGCATCACATAATGTAGATCATCGCGGAGTCATCGCGTAACCCGGAAAACTCGCAATTGGATGGATACATGAGGGCACACGACGCGGCACCGAAGGTTCATGAGGCCGCTTTTGGAGAAGCGGTGGGAGATGAAACAGTTCAGAAACGCAGACATAAAGTTGTCAACATCGTTGTATGTGGTGACTTGGCGGTGGAGTCAACTTTCTTGACGGTTGTAGTTTCATCCGTTCGGAAGTTCTTGCCGGGCATATTCTGGCAGATTTCTGGTCATGTGAACATCGTTCGACAGCGTTCGACCTCTTTGGACCATCCCACCACTACCGTTTCACACTGATCTTGTCTGCAGGCCTGGTATATCAAAATTCGAGCACCTGAATACGAAAAACCAACGTACTTACGCCTGAGGCTGAGGGTGTTGGTGGCTGCTATCCGAGCACTCGAACATCTGTTAAACATTGACCCTGTCTCCGTTCCGGACATCCGTGGATCGATATCTATCGGGGTCCAAACCTGTGCCCTTAGGAATAGTATCGTATCATATCTACCCACTGATGGTTGATATCGCGCGGCCTTAATCCGATGACAATGGAGCTGCGAAGCGATCAGCGCCACAATCGGCGAACCGATACCGCTTACTTGCCTCTAGGCGCAGATGCTCTGCCGACCTGGCCTCGGTCGAAATAAAGAATGGCTGTAGAGAGTTTATCCCGCCTTCAACTGAGCTGGGCTAGAGACTATCAACAAATCTGTGAATGCATTTTATGATATCCTACTATCCAGTTTTCACACGCGAACTGCAGAGTGCTTATCAACGAAAATACCTACTTAACCTCTGACTAAAGCCAAGGCAGCTGAGGTGATCTGCGGTCGGGTGTATTTACTCGGCGATACCAGTGGTTGGGGATCAGCAGTATATTTGATTGTCATTTAATTGTGGGTCCACACCGACAACGGGTTGAATGGCTGCTCATTTTGACGACATAGAGCAGCAGAGAGAGAAAATCTGCAGAATATCAGCGTGCTTATAAGGAAAGTACCTTGAATGTGCTCCCGCCTTATACTCATATCTTGAACCATATCTATGTCCGTCATTTTTTCGCTGTTCAATAGATAAAAATAGATAATAACGTTGTATGCGGGACTGCGACCCGGGAATGTGGTCTTGAAACTTCTCTACGTTGTTGGTCAACGTTCATGACTCAATGAGGCTATGCATTTCATCGTATGTAGATCGCAGGGGTCACGTCGACAATAACTGAAACCCCTCAGAAAATCGAATCGAGCTTATGGCCAATCTGACTTAGCTCCCACTAATAACTATTCTTGTCGTCTTATTGACTGTAAGTACAGTGCGTGGTTTTCAAAGTGGCTTTTTCGTTTACATTATTGGTTCTTTACCGATACAAAACTCGTCTCGCAGATTAAGTAACGGCCCAGGGGGCAAATGGAAGAGCACCCTTAGAATATCGAGCCAATTTTATCCCCTATCTCTCCAGCGACGCTACCGACTTTGTCCCCTACCTCGCCTGCAGCATCTTCAACCTTCGAGGCAGCAGCCTTGACTTTCCCTTTAACGTCAAATTCGTCCAAGCAAGTATCACATGATGCGGGCTAAAGAGAGAACACGTCAGACTCGCTTGATGTTCCGCTGGGCACTTCACGTACTAAATTAACAGCAGCATTCACGGCACCTGCGAGGCACGCCGCATCCGAAATGGGGTCTAGCGAACGTTGGTAAGCCGAGGGTCCATTGTTTCAAGTAAGGTGATCAAACTTACTAGCACCCTCTTGCGCGGCAGCACCAACACAAGACACAACTGCGATTGATCCTGTTAGTTCGCGATTTCAGCCTGCCGTCGTAGGTAAGACAAACCCGTCGGGGCGAGAGCAGCAACGCAAGCTAGAAGTGGATAAGATCAGAAGTTATATCAAGAGAGGAGATGACGTCAGACGTACCACCAATCTTGCATGAAGCACGCATGAAAACATGGCCCGACGGTGCAGCCACGACGGCGCTGATCATCATGAAGAGGCTGAGAACAAAGGCGAATTGCATATTGAAAGTCGAAGAAGAGAGATTGGTATGATTTGGAAAGTAGGTTGTTGAATGAGGATGAATAGGCTCGACCAAAGAATGACAAGAAAGGGAACGTCAAGTTCCAAGAAAACGAAAGAGACGAAGAACGAAGAAAACACGGGAATGAGGAATCGAAGGCCAGTTTCGAACCTATTTAAGTGTTTCCAATATTCCAGCCAATATAGCCATCATCACTGAGGTGGATACTCATCAGCTTCTCATCAGCCAGTCGTTGCAGAAAGTGACACTGACAAGCACACCACAGTTTCCTGTGCGACGGGCACCGAATCTAAATATGTTGTGGAACACTCGTTTACGGATCTTG